TTCTGATGTTGATCACAAGACTAGTCGAACAGCAGCCGCTGCGATCTTAGTCCGAGAGTGCAACTGGGATGGTACTAGCCAGGAAAGGAGATAAACTGGCCCTGCCCCGATTGGCAGGAAGACTCTAAACCAGCATGGAAAGCTGGAAGTCCTTCGTCCTTCGTAAACCGTAGTCGTAGTAGCCCTAGAGTAGCATGTTCTGTGGAATCTAGAACCTATGGTGTCTAAGACAAAGTGTACGGATACTCCACAACAGCGCATTACAATCAGTCAAAAGTGAAGTTGCGCAGAAGACTGGCACTGTTTCTAAGGCATTTGTGTGCAATCGCTCCATGGAAGGATGTTGTCTCGTCCGAAGCTCTTCTAGCAGCACATTCAATGCAATATGTCTGAGTAGACTTGCACACGTCTTTGGTTCCCCATTCTGGGCTCCTGACTCGAGTTTGCTTGTCTCCCGAAGCACCGCACATGCATGGAGCTTTACGATGCTTTACGCGTATGTATATATGTATATATACACACATACACACACATATCTATATATATATACATGCATGCATGCATTCATACGTACATACATACATACATACATACATACATACATATACATACACATACATACACATACATACACATACACACACACATACACACACATACACACACGTACACATACACACACACACATACATACATACATACATACATACATACCTACGTATGTATGTATGTATGTATGTATGTATTTATGTATGTATGTATGTATGTATGTATGTGGCTACGGCTCAAGGACAGAGCTACCTGATGCTTGATTCCAAACACTACGAGTAGCTAAACACGTCACTGCAGGTACCACTCAGGCACACAAGGGTACCAAGGGGTGCTTTGTAGCAGTGGAGGGTTGCCCATGTGAGCACTATGGCCCTCCTGATTCAGGTGAGCCTGCTAAGCGGCAGGACGGTTTCACTGGAAGCAGAACCGGACGAGTCCGTAAAAGCATTGCGTAGCAGAGCACAGAAGGCTCTGGCAGTCGGCACAAGCAAACTCTTGGTTCTGGACGGGTCCACCACAGCAGCTTCCAGGTTCGCGGCCACGCTTCTGCTTTTGCTGCCATTCTGGCCGACGGCTCTGTTGTGACCTGGGGCGATGCTGACGATGGTGGCAACAGCAGCCACGTACAAGGTCAGCTGAAGGATGTGCAGCAGATCAAAGCTACCATGAATGCTTTTGCTGCCATTCTGGGCGATGGGTCTGTTGTGACATGGGGCAGTGCTGACAGTGGTGGCGACAGCAGTGCCGTGCAGGATCAGCTGAAGGATGTGCAGTTGATCCAAGCTACCAACACGGCTTTTGCTGCCATTCTGGGCGATGGGTCTGTGGTGACCTGGGGCAGTTCTGCCGCTGGTGGCGACAGCAGAGCAGTGCAGGATCAGCTGGTGGACGTCCAACAGATTCAAGCTACTGGCTTTGCTTTTGCTGCCATTCTGGGCGATGGGTCTGTTGTAACCTGGGGCGATGATTGCGGTGACAGCTGTGATGTGGAACATCAGCTGAAATGCGTTCAGCAAATTCAAGCATCTCAGTACGCTTTTGCCGCCATTCTGGGGGATGGGTCTGTTGTGACCTGGGGCGATGCTGGCGCTGGTGGCGACAGCAGTGCTGTGCAAGGTCAGCTACAGGACGGGCAGCAGATCCAGGCTACTGAAATAGCTTTCGCGGCCATTCTGGGCGATGGGTCTGTTGTGACTTGGGGCGATGCCGACGGCGGTGGCAACAGCAGTCAAGTGCAAGATAAGCTGAAGGATGTGCAGCGGATTCAAGCTACTATCGATGCTTTTGCTGCAGTGCTTGGCAATGGATCTGTTGTGACATGGGGCAGTTCTGGCGCTGGTGGCGACAGCAGTGCTGTGCAAGCTCAGCTGAAGGATGTGCAGTTGATCCAAGCTACCGGCATGGCTTTTGCTGCCATTTTGGGCGATGGGTCTATTGTGACTTGGGGCAGTGCTGACAGTGGTGGCGACAGCAGTGCTGTGCAGGATCAGCTGAAGGACGTGCAGCAGATCCAAGCTACCAACACGGCTTTTGCTGCCATTCTGGGCGATGGGTCTGTTGTGACCTGGGGCAATGCTGGCAGTGGTGGTGACAGCAGCGCGGTCCAAGCTCAGCTGTCAAACCCGTAGAGCTGTGCAACAGCCTTCGTGGAAGGCCAGAGTGATTGTGCACTGTGGATGTCTGCCCATGTCTTGCTTTGTGTTTGAAACATGAAGCTCCTCAGCTCCTGGGCTCAAAAGGAGCTTGGGGTTGGCTCGCGATGAGTCTGGAAACTGCGGGTGTCGTCACAAACCTCGTCTGACTTGGTCGAGCGCGAGTGCTAAAATGTATGTGTGTGTATATATATATATGTGTGTGTGTGTGCTCATAGACCGATCTATCTATTTATCTATCTGGCGAGCTATCTATCTATCTATCTATCTATCAATGTATTTGTCTATGTATCTCCTGTTTATCTTCTATCTATGTATCTATGTATCTATGTATCTATGTATGTATGTATCTATCTATCTATCTATCTATCTACTTTTCTATCGTTCTATCTATCTATCTGTGTATCTACCTATCTATTTATCTGTTTACCTATTTATATATCTATCTATCTATCTATCTATTTGTTTTTCTATCGGTCCATCTATTCATCTATCGCACTATCGAACTATCGATCGGTCGATCTTTCTATCTGTATAGACGACCGTTATGAAATATGTGTACATGCATACACACATGCGTAAGCACATACACATACACATATGTCGTTGTGCATACTATGAGTTCATATATATATATATACACATGCACATGCACGCGCACACGCACCCACCCACCCACCCACCCACCCACCCACCCACCCACCCACCCACCCACCCACCCACACACACACACACACACACACACGCAAAAACACGCAAAAACACACGCAAACACACACGCACACACACACACACAGAGACACACAGACACACACCCACCCCCACCCACCCACCCGCCCCCGCACACGCCAGCCCGCCCGCACGCCCGCCCGTCCGCACGCGCACGCACACACACGCACACGCACCCGCACACGCACGCACGCACGCAGACACCCCCGCACACACACACATATACACATACACACATATACACACATACACATATACACATATACACATATACACATATACACATATACACGTACACACACATACACACACATACACACATACACACACATACACACACACACATACACACACACACACACATACACACACACACACGCGCGCGCGCACACAGGCACAGGCACACGCACGCGCACACACACGCACACGCACATGCACACGCACGCACATGCACCCACAGATGGACATATACCGCATATACCTATGTGTGTTTATGTACATACATACACGTGCGTACATGTACATACATATGCATGCATAGTTACACATACACACATACACAACAAACAAACCGTTACATTACATGAATACATGCACACATAGCCTTTGCTCTGTTGCACGCGCGGATCATTGCAGTGACACTCTTCTGAGGGGCGCGCAGGCCCTACATCATATGTATATATATATATGTTCACTTGTTTATATACTTACATATTTATATAGTTATATATTTATATATTTATATATCAATATATTTACATATTTACATATCTACATCTTTACATATTTATAAATTTATATATTTTTTCACACACACACACACATCAAACACAAATGACTCATGCGCAGCGACTCTCTTTCTTTTCCTCTCTCTCTCTCTCTGACTCCAATGTATATATGTATATATATATATAAAGTTTATCTTCACATGTACACACATGCATGCAGGCACAAATTCCTGCCGGCAAGCACGCTACGAAGAGCAGCTGCATGAAATAAAAGACAGGCCAAAGAACAAGTGCATGTGTGTGCCTTGGCTCCAAGGCTTCTTCAAGGACACCTGGATTCCCAGCGCCTCGCCTCGTTTCGGGGTTCCGGGCTGGTCTTTGCTTGGGGACTGCAGCCGTGACCTTTGTTTGCTTCCGGGAGAAGAAGTTCCTGGTTTCAACAAGCTAATGCTGGGCTATGGAGACAACCCCCTGCATGCAGGGTTCAGGCTTTAGGATGGTTTCGTGGAAGAGTGAGAGATCCACAGTTTAGAGCAATCTTTCTCTCGCGAGGCGGGGGGAGTTGGGGTTTTCGGGCACATCCCTGGTCTTGCTTGGCTTTACCCTCCTCCCGTCGGTCAGGCATGTGGAAGCCAGCGATCGTCCCGCGCCTGTTTGCTCGGGGTGGCAACGCTTATTGCTCCTGGAGGGTTGGAGAATCTTCAGTCTTTGGGCTTTAGGTGTGACATGGCCGAGGAATCGAGACTTGGAAAGGGCTCCAGGTTTCAGAAGAGTCGGCAACAAAAATCACTGAGTCACATGGCCTCGGAGGCAGAGCCTCGAAAGTGAAAGTCAGGAGCGAGCCTCATGCAACCTTTAAGCAGCCTAAGCCAGCCGGGCTAGTCAAGAATCATGGGAGTAGAACTGTCGGCGGGCCCATAGGATTCAGGACTGGGTCTGAGAGATGACGGCAGAGGGCATCTACTTCCGGGCTGCAGCTCGGACCCCTCTCCTCAAACACCAGGCAGCAGAGCAAGGAAAGACTGTGACAACATCCCTCCCGAGGTGGCGGCGGCGAACTATGATGGCACGTACGATCTTCAGCATGGCCCTCGGGGGACTTTTGGAGGAAGCTCGAATAGCTCGAAGACCAAACCTCAAAACTTTCGTAGGAGCCCGGGAAGACAGCCATTGGGCAGCCATGGCGGTGCAAGAGATTCCCGATGATTACTGGCATTTCTTTCCCTTCAGACTTGTATACGGCAGGCTGCATTCATTTTGCACCGAAGCAGTCTCGGTATCTAACTCCACGGCTCGGAGGGCGCTGCTAGCACTCCTAAGCTCGCTGCCCAGGTTCGAGATGAATCATGGGCCCTACCGAGAGCGGAGGACCTTTTCGGGGGTCGGGGGGCCTCCTCAAAACTCGTACGGGTACGGCGCAGGAAGGAACACCTGCCCAGAAAGGTTTTCCTCTATGAATGTGGACGGCCAGGACCAAAGGGCACAAGCGCACTCCCACGCTGTCCCTGCGCAAAAACGAGCGATTCAAGGAGTCGGGTGGCCCAGAGCTGGTTCTGTTTCCAGCATAGGGGCCTCAACGGATTAATGTAGCATTTTGCATGGTTTTGGGCCAGGTTACTATGGTTTGATTGTATAGGAACTGTATCGGGATGTTGTAGCGACCTTTCTGTGGGAGTTTGAAGATCTGTTTGGAGTCTTGAACTTCTTGAAACACATCGGCGCATCAAGAGCTTGAGCCAGAATGGCAGATCTGCAAGTACCACATCTGACCGAACCCACGCATTTTCGGAGCTTCAAAGTTTTTGGACAGCGCCGGCTTGACTTTCGATCTCGGTGAGAGTTTGTTTGTGGCTTGGGATGCTGAAAGGTTTGACCACCTTCTTGTTGCATGGAAGTAGGTTTGTGGATTGGGACACTGAACAGTTTGGCGCTCTCGTGTTGCAGCTTGGCCGGGGAACACCTTTACAGCAGTGGTTTGATTTTCGATCTCGGTGGACGCTTGTTTGTGGTTCGAGAGACTGAAAAGTTTGCGGTTTGGGCTGGCAACACCGCGACGCCGGTTTTTTCATTTTCGATCTCGGTGGAAGTTTGTTTGTCATTTGAGACGCTGAAACTTTGACCCCTTTGGTGTTGCATGGAGTTGGTGTGTGGTTTGTGCCGCTGAAAAGGTTGACCCCTGTGGCGTTGCAGTTTTGGGCCGGGAACAAACACCGGGACACTGCCCGTTTGTTTTCGAGCTCTGTCTGTGGGAGTGCTTATGGGTTTGATTCGTGTCGCATTTTGGCCGGGAGCACTGCGACAGCGCCTGGTTCTCTGCTTCGATAGGAGTTTGGGAACTCCGCTCTTGAGCCTTCCAGAAGCCCTGTCTCAGCCCCATCCGAGTTTCGGCGCGGATCACATGCCGGCCTCCTTCCGGCTCTTCGAGGAAATGAACTACCAGCAGTCGGTGCCCCCTCTTGGCCCATTCTCTGGCATGGCTCTCAAATAATATTGTAGTTGCAGGTTCGTGACAGCTTCAGAACAGTACACAATAGTACATCGTAATGTGTTGGTATGTCAGGGCAGTCTTTCAGCGGAAGCGGTGTGTAACATCTCGCAGCTGCGCCTGGGGCGCCAATAGGGTGCATCAAGCAAGCCTCGCTGGTTCCGTGCACTTGACACTTTACATGGGGAGGTCTCAGAATATGAGGGGTGCCTTATTTAGACACCGAGGGCTATTTACTCTTTTGGGCTTAATACCGGGGTCCCTTGTTTCTGCAGCATTTACACACAAGTAAGTTTCCTACCGTGCCATACAGTGAGCTTGAAAGGTACCACCCAGCAACATCCGAATGGTTGGCTACATCGACCGCATCAGTGATATGCCCTGAGCCTGGGAGATTCGTCCTTTGCAGAGCATGTAGAGAAAAACACAAGCAGTCTGCGTGTGCCAAGGCATGACCCAGATGCAACGCAAGACTGGTACCTCTGCACGAGCAAAAAGTTCATGGTGACAGAGCACCTTGGCTCAGAGATGCAGGGTTTGGACACGGCCCTAAATCCCCGAAGCCCTCTCACGAGCTTCTTGGTAATTTTGGCCAGGCTAGCCGGAAAGGGGCACACTTGAGGACAATCCTCAAACCCCATTGCAGTTGTTCATGGTTTATGGCAGTTCATGTTGGAGAGCTTGTGTACTCCAGAGTTCCAGCTGGCCAACAGGATTTCCTTCCTCAGCCTACTACTAGTGCTGCTGCTGCTACTACTACTACTACTACTACTACGTAGCTGCTCTAGCTTAATTGGTAATTCTGTTAGCTTGTGTATTGTTGTATAAAATCCTAAAGCAGCCGAGCACGGGCTGAGGTTACCTGTAGTGCCTCCCGATCGAAGTGGTTGCAACCGAACGAGTGTAACTTGTCTGACAGCTGCTTCTCCGGACTTCTGAAACCTGTCGACTCTCAGCTTGCTAAGCACGTTTCCAAGCCCTCGAATGCCAGCTGCCACAAACTTGTAGTGCCTGCTTCTTCTTGTCCTTCGACTTTCCGGAAAGTTTCTGAAATCTGACCCAAGCGTGGTTCTCGCTTTTTTTGGAAGTTCAGGTCCCAGACCGGCCGCGAGTCGAGCCCTCGGTCGGGTAGGGCGGAATGAGGGCCTTGTAAGTGTGTTTTTTCAAGTATGTCTCTGGAATTTATGAGAATAGCTGCACGGGGCTCCTTCTTACGGTTGTTGTGCTAGGTTTCTAGGGATTGGCAGAGTCTGGGTTCAAAAAAAGGGTTACTAGGGATCCTTGGTAGGAATATGGGGGTTTCGGAGAGTTCGGGATAGGGATCCTACGAAAATGGCTTAGGTGTCCAGAACCCCAGAGAGGCTCTAGTGGGCAGACCGGATGCACGCACTCGATGATGTGGAAGAAAGCAGAGCGGGGCGAGCGCCCCAGGCTCCAGGTCTCAAACCCCGAGCCCTCGATGAAGCACCTCCCGTGCAAACCACGAACCAAAAAACCCTTCTGCTGCGCCAGTGCCAAGCGGCTGGATGACTTTGCGCGGAGATTCTTGTTCTCCTACCGGTGGGCCGGGGTCCCGGTTCGTCGAATTCTCAGATCCCAGACTTGAAGACGAGAACCCCCTGCAGCAGCTGACATCGCCCACCTCAAAGCTTGCTACGAGTGTCGTCGTCCTGCAAAAGAGCCACGAGCCGTAGTACAGCTGAAAGCCGATATCAGGACCCCCTGCTCGTATGAATCCTGAATGCAGGTCCCGACAGAGGATGGTGATCTCCGCTTCGAGCCCGTCCCGAATGCCTCGCAGGAGTGGAGCGGGTTTTTTGAGCCCTTATGGCTCAGGGATGGTTCTGGTTTGGGTGCTTCAGGATTTCGGACTCAATTCTTGGTGGGTGTCGCAGTTTTGCAAGTCAGCCACGAGCCTCCTCCCTTCTTGGGGAAACTCACCCGGACAATCAAGCCCTGTCGTGCAGAAAAACCCCGGAAGCCTCGACATCCATGCGTGGATGGCAGGCACATCTACAGCCGAAGTGTACCGGAAAGCATGGCTACTGCACACGGAGCCCTAATCTGATTCTGATCACATCAGGAGCGTAACCAATTGTCATGATGATGGTTTCTCCTACCAGCAGGGATGCGTCATGCTCAGTGCAGAAATTGGAAAAAACCCTATGCACGAAGCATCATAGCCAAGCGAGACGTCATAGCCCCAGCCACTAGATGGGCGCGGGATGTCCAAGAAAAAAGCCCTAAAAAACTCTTGACCCTGCGGCCCCTTTCTCCTTCCCGGTTTCTTCAACAGCGACCTTGGAGAGGCTCAGTCCCTGAGGGTGCGGCGGCCCGGCATCCTGCTGCTAGCGACTACTCTGTGGCTACTGCAGTAAGCCAACCCAAAACCGAGGATGACTTGCATCATTCTTATCTTCGTCCTTCAGGTTTTGCAGGGCTCAAAGGTCTCGCAGCAGGCTAGTTGCAAAAGCGTGCAGCTCTTGAAACTCTGGGATGTAAGGCAGGGAACGAAAGGCCGAGACCTTGGAATCTTTGGAAGCTGCTCTGAGAGCCGGCAGAGGTTTCAATCGTTTCCCCGGCCCCCGAATCCACCTGCGGAGCCGCAGCTGCGAGTTTTCCTTGAGGCTAGAACGGATTCCTAAAACAATCGAGGCACCGCACATTGATGGAGGTCAGCCCGGCTATCATGCTAGTGATGACTTGCGCAGGTTGGTTTAGCACCTCGACGTTGCTTTCTTTGAATGGAAGGAAGCCTTAATCCATAGCTTCTGCATGGTAAGGCTGGCAGCAGTCGTGTAGAGGGGGACTTTTCCTGGCTGAGGCCACGGAGGTTCTCCTAGTCCCCAATCGGTCCCAATCAGAGAGACGACCCGATGGAGCACCTTCCATGGTGGACAGTCGCGATTGCGGCGCTTCCACATATGCCAGCAAATGCAGCCATTTGTGGCAACTGGAATGAAACGCAGTGTCCCACCATGAATGATGGTGGCTGCAGCTGCTACTGGAACGCAACAAATTGTGCAATGAATGCCTCGGACTGCAGCGGCAGTGGCGACACTAGCATCACATCTGTCGGTGATAGCTGCACCTTGACAGGCGGTGAGGTGGTGAGTGATGGCTGGCATGGAGCAGACACCGGCAACAACTGGTGCAACAGCTGTAAGTGCGTTAGCGGGGGCCTGGGATGCACCCGCATGGCCTGCACCATCCCCACCAACGACGGCGGTCGCACCTCGGCTGTCGGAGCCGCATTGATGATGTCGCGGCTCTTCGTGTGAAACTGATGATTTCTACGGCAGCCAGCAATGAGCCTTTGTCTTATATTCAACTTACGTAGCTCCGGAATGCCACCATCCGCTCTGCGTCGGACCTGTGCAATCTGTCAAAGACACATTGCCTCGCAGATAGTGACGTGCACAATGAGCCCCGGATTTGGGACACGTCCGAAGAACAGAGCGGGGTGTGTAGAGTTATCAGAGATGCGTGCTTCAGCCATTGCGCTTACCGGAACATCTTGCCTTTGCCTAGCCTAGCTGCTTTCAAAGGGTCCTTCCTGTCACTCAGCCTTCTTTTTCGGAGTAGTGGTTGCGTTTTCTTGGGTGATGCCTGCTGAAGGAGGCTACGGGCAGTCAGGACGTGAGTAGCCCAATTACAGGTCTAACCTTAGGCTGGCCTGCCAGAATCCTAGGCTGATCAGCCAACGATCAGCACGGAGGCCCCAATCAAATCAACGCAAAGCAATCTTCAACTATGGACTTGGCTCACGCCCTTCAAGCACAGGAGAATGGTGCGTTTATCTTTTGAGTTTCTGCTTCCAAGCAGAGCCTCTGCAGTGAATGAGCTTAGCAGAGATGTCCCACGTCCTTGTCCCCGAAGTCCTTCTCCGGGCTCACGGCTGCAAGGGTTGCGAGCTCTTTTCAGAGAAGGCTGTTGCCCCTGAGCCTCAAATTCCTGACGAAGGGCTTTAGAGCTGAAGGTTTCAGTTTAGGAGTCGTGATGCTCTTCGCTTGTCGGCGGAGGTCTGCCACAAGAACACGGCCATGCAGTTTGCGAATGCCGCGAGCGCCGACGACGAAGCGAAGAGGAAGATCAAGCGGTACAAGGCAGATGACTGATCCCGCGAGGGAAGAAGTTCGGATGAAGTGGATGTCTCGTTCTTTGCCTTTTGCTCGCTGTTTCAGCAGAGTCACGAGCTCTTCAACTTTCCTTCCCGAAGCCCTGAGATCCCAAAGTCCTGTCAAGGCCGAGATGGCTCAGTTCGAGCAGGTCATCGGCGAAATCACCGCTCAGGAGCACAAGCCACGTCGTCGGACCCTAAGAGGACAAAATCGAATCAAAGCTCGAGGTGGCTGCCTGTGCCCATGCCCAGTATTCTGGGAGCATGCGTCGACAAGTCGACCGGTGTAGCGTATCAGAAGGATTCTTCGCTGATGCTCCCGTTTACATACATGTATAGATAAATAGTCGTTATACCTCAAGACCTACGTTGATGATTCCTTGGCCCTTGTTTTCATCCTTCGCACCATCCTTCTGCTATAATATGCAACAAAACCCTAACTCAATTATTAAAGCCAGCACATCGTATGGATGACACGAAGCCCGAAGTTTTATTCTTATCCTCTGGTCTTCCGAATCCGAGGCCCTGCAGGCCCGAGGAAGACCAGGCGCGGGATGTTTTTGGGTGGTCAGGGCGTGTAAGGTCGAGGGATGTTGAGGGGGTTTGAGGGGTTTAGGGGTTTAGGGTTCAGGGCGACAGAGTGCCCTAGAGAGAGAGAGAGAGAGAGTTCAGGTTCCCATGGTGGTCGCCTAGAGTTCCCGCAAGGTTCCGGGTTGGGGTGGGAAGGCGAAGGCAAGGTCGTGCGAGGCTTCAGTTCGGGCTAAGGCGGGGAGGCAGGTAAGGCGGGGGCCACTTTGCAAAGTATTTCCAGACCGAAAGAGTGGAGCTCAATCGGTCTCCTCAGTAGAGATCGAGTGAAGTTAATGTCGGCCTTAGGCGTGTTGCCGTGCTTGGGGGGCTTGATTAGGGGGCTCTACACAGGGGGTACACCCCACCCGACAAGAGACAAGGCCAGGCCTCACTAGAGCATCCTACCTAGCTTTTGCCAAGTTTCGCTGTGTTTGTTTCAAGGCCAGTTCTCTCCATAGCAGTTTCTGGAAGATGCCTGGATGACCCCAGTGATGCCTGCAAGGTTTTCTATGGTCACGGTCTTAGCAGGGGTGTTCTTCGGGCTGGGTTCACAGGCACATTGGAGGGAGCAGCTTGATCTTCAACCCCCGAAAGGGGCCATTCACACAGACCGGCGCAGACCGAGTTGGGGCAAGCAAGCAAGCAAGAGAGGGTGCAGGGGCCAAGGACCCAGGAGGGTCCCGTTCTGGGTCATTTCTAGGGTGTAGTCATGCCCATGCATTCAGGAGAAGGATATTCATGAAGGGACGGAGCCAGGGACCGCATTGCCGTGGACTGCGAACCTGCCAGGCTCACGGCGGACGCCTGACACCCCAGGTGTGTGAGCAGAGTAGAGGTGGCCTCTATTCTGGTCCACTTGTCTGTGTGTCCCTTTATCCGCCTACCTTCCATTTATGTCTCTATACATCTCTCCCTCTCTGTGTCTCTCTCTTTCTCTCTCTCTCTGCCTCAATCCCTCTGGGGTATGTGCTGACATCAACAGTTTTGTTCCGGCGCCCTGGGAGGAAAGCTGCCCCCGCCTCGGAATCGCTAGTAACGACTGAGCTGAACGATCTGGCCTCTCCTCCCATTGGGTGCAATGCACAAGAGCCGAGCGTAGCAGCGCCTTCATCCTTACCAAAAGCGTTGCACCGCAACGTGAAACAGAATCGAGACATTCAGCCTGACACCCTGAAGACCCCGTACCCGATTCAGCACCGTTCAAAGTCTTCGAAGATGCTCAGCTAGCACACTGCTGCGCCTGGAGCCTGGACTACCCACCACTAGCAACCGGACGTCAGCAGCCGCCCGAAAAGGACAGGGTGGACACCATATAGCCAGGGAACAGGTTCAACTTTGCAATTCAAGACCTGCTTTGTCGGATGTCGGGAGATGTTGGATGAGTCAGATAGGCTCAGTGCCGGATTGAAGGAGATGATCAGTTTCTCTAGCAGCAACTCTCTGTGTCTCCGTGGTAAGAGGGGCTTTGTTCACTTTGTCTAAGCTGAGCCAGGCTTCGTGTAGCCCCTCTGGCTGGCAGTCCGAGACCTTGGAAGCCCTCAGCCCCAAAGCGACAAACTCGGGAGCCCCAAGCCCAGCAATTCCATGCGCAGGGAGGACGTCGAGCAGCTCTCCCCTCCCCTTAGCCTTAGCTCATCCACCCTACCCCCAACACCTTTAGAAATGTGGCCACGCCTTCAAGTCATTGCCCCCATGTGCACAATTCACGGTCTTTTCCTGCTTCGCCTCTTCGGAATCGTTGCGACCATGCCGCCGCGCTCAGCGACGGTCTCGCTACGCTTGGCAGTGGCCACTCGGCGGTGTGTTCTGGAGCCTTCCGGAGTGTCGGTTTCGAGTCAATAAACTGAATAGCCGCAAGCGCCGGAATTAGCTGTCTGTAGGCATTCGGGCATTCTCCGACGCCTGGCTTTTTGCTAGAAAGACGCCGGGAAGTCCCGTCTTCATGCACATGGTACCATGATCATTCTGAAACCACAGGACGCCGAGGAGCTTGCCGGGCAAAGCACGGCAGCCGGAGCTCTGAAATCAAGTTCAGGCTGAACTGACCGGAAAGGACCTTCAAGCATAGCTGACATAGCTGTCCTCCCTCACGCCCCTCCTTGGCTCTTGACCTAAAGTCTAGCAGCTGTTCGGGTCAGGTTGCTGCCGCCTTGTGGGCAGCGCCAACCTTTCTTCAGCCTGCAGCGCCCAAGCGGACCGCGTTATGCCGGGATGGGGGAAGGGTTTGGAGACAGGATGTTGGCTAAGTAGTGGCTGCAGCAGTTGTAACACCAGTCGTCGTCGTCATCATCATCGTGGTGGTGGTGGTGGTGCTGCGCCGCTGCTCCTCCTATCCCGTGTTCGTTTGTTCATTGCAGCTCTTGCAGGTGCCGCACCGTCCGAAGTGCCTGTGCTGGAGGAGCCGTAGCTGCGATGGTTCCGTGAAAGGATTGAGCACAGATTCAGCGCGTTGTGTCTCTCGCATAAGCTTAGAGGTGTAGACTCGACCATGTGACACATGGTGTGGCATTTTTCAAGACTGGCATTGGGTCTTCTCTTGAAAGCATGGCTTCCCGTCAAGCTTTTCGGCCAGAACCGTGTGCAGTCGCAGAGCAGCTTTGCAACCTCCACCAAGCAAGGTCCTCCAGAAACTCAAGACCTCCGTGAGTACAAGTCATCAGTTGGACCGTGGAGCCGTGCTTGCAACGTCCGACTCACATAGACCCGCTGCAACAGGAGCCACCCAGCCTCCTGCCAGAGTTGTTGGAGATGGGTACGGCGGGCCAAGGTGCCATCGCACAGGAGTTCGGGTCGGTAAGCTTCTTGGGAAAGCGCCTTCTGTTCTCCGGTGACGTCCCATTTTGAGGCGAGGAGTTGGGCGGATTCGTTGATGTTTAATTCGAGGGGTTTTGATCTAGGTCATGGGAGAGTCGCTACAGCAGCTACGGTCACAAGTGCGCCAATCACTAGGATATTATTCCCTTGTTGCTACGACTTGACCATGAGCTTTCCCGACCCCAAAAACAATCCACACGAAGCGGCCGAACCTGCGCTCCACGCTTTGACCCCGGCGTTTGAGGGCGCTGGTGGAGCGTGCAACCCCCCAACACCAAAACCTTCGGTCTGTGGCGGGGCCTGCTGAAGTTCCAGCCCCGATGCCGAAACCCGTTGCTCTAACTTCGCAGTCCCTGTGAGGTCTTTGCTTTCCAGCAAAACATGCCTAACCCCCCCCTAAAGCCCGAAAGCCTGGGCTAGCGCAGTTCGGGTCGTGTTGTTGCCTTTGTTTTGTGGAGGCGATGCCCTGCAGGAGCGCATCGAGGAGCTTCCAAAGGGGAGACTTTGGGAGTCTCTAGCGGTTGGAGCTCGGCCACCAGGTCTCCACTCCATGAGAGGAGTGGACGTTTGAAAGCTAAGCCCTGAGCCCTGAGGTAAAAAGTTGCGTAATCTTGAGTCCGGCCCGACATGGCATGGTGTATCAAAAGTCGCAGGCATTGCGAGTCTTGCCACGGTCCATTGCAGGAGGTGTTTGCGCAGGTGTCGCCAGATGACTTGTCGACGCTGCGGGCCAAGGCCACTCTAGTGATGCAGCCCTTGGATTCGGCTTCTGTTGCTCATGGGGCTCCGTGGCTATGCATAGCTCCATGTGCAGGAGTGCTTGAGATGATGTCTGTATGACTAGATGTCTGCGGGCTGCCTGGATATAGAAACTCTACCCAGACCCTACGTTGATTGAGTGTCGTGAAGAGTGCACAGCTGGGAGGTCTCGGACCCTCAAGATGCAGATCATGCTGCCGCGCAGCGTGTAGGAGCCGCCATCCAGGCTTCCAGGGATGGGTGGGGTCTTGGCGCATCGCCTGCCCCTTCCTCAGGCCACTGAGTAACCTAAACCCTGGTTGAGGAATGCTGTGCAGCTGCTCAAACGCCACAAGCTATCCTTAAGCAGCTGTAGCCTGACAGCACATGAAGCAATGACTTCATGAGGCGACCTCATGAGGGACCTCGAGGTGGTTTTAAAGGGGTTAGATGGGCTCTGGTGCTGTGCCATGCATCGTGGGGTCTTGCGTGAAGACATTGTGTGGAGCCTTGCCTGCCTTTTGCGATTGTGAAACTCGAAACCCTAAGTCATGTAGGGGCCTTCATAATTGCCTATACTGATTTTGGGGGCTCCTTACTATAACTATAGTATAGTAGACCCCAAGACCTTTGCCCCTGAACCCTAAACCTGGTACGGTGCCAGGCTAGGAGTCAGCATAGTTACACGCCCACCTGCACCTGTTGAACCTCGCCTGGCATGTCCGAGTTGTGAGTGCTGAAACCCCAAAGCCTGCTTTTTTTGTCCCTGGGAGTTTTTTTTCCCGCTTGGGAGGTGGCCATGGAGAAGAGGTTGGCATCGGCAAAGGTGGTGTTAGAGCCTCGGCCTTCGGAGACGCCTCGGGCTCCCCTTTCTTGTAATTGTAGTTGCCGGACTATATAATAGTATGCTATACACTATGCTATATGCAATATACTACATGATTCGTAAGGTACTAAGCTAGACTATACTATACTAAACGACACTAAACGGTATCAGTACTGTATGACATGATACTTCATGATCTGATATTAAACGACAGCATCTTCTGGTGTTGCTTGCTCAATGTCCGTTCCCTGCTAGTTCATGTGTGCGAAGGCGTTTTTGCTAGTTTTGGTTGACTTGATCCCGGTCGGTACAAAAGCCAAATCGTGGGGGCGAACAAGGCCTGCTGTAGAATGTCATGTTGTGAGGTTGGTTGAGACTATGCGTTCGGGATTCAGGACTGTAGTGGCTGTATGGCACACTTGTTGCAGTTGAGGGCTCAGTGTGGAAAATCCATCTCAGCCACAAGGAAGAAATGATCAACAATGCGGATGGAGATGCGGCCCAGCCGCAGAAGTATGGTCCTACATGGGATTCCTCCAAGTTCGGGGTAATATGGGTCCTTGAAAAGTTTTCCGAAACAGAACCGTAAGTTCGTCTACCTCCAAGTGTTCTTCGCACATCACTATACAACATCTTTCAGTCCAGGCAATGCCAATCCAGGACCTGTGCGGAACCCTGAAGAAACGGTGCCACTGAACCACATTATGCCGTTGTTGCGAGGTGAATGTCCTTATCCGCAAGACGCTCAGGAAGGTCGAGTGCCTGGGCTATCTCGTCCACTGGGAAATTGGGACTACATTGAAACCTGTGCTCAGGCTTTTCTGCGTCCGAACAGGAGGATGTAAGAATCTTACGTCAAGTACTTGGATAAGTGGGGCTTGCAGGTTGCACGACCTGCCTGCCTGCGACTTTCGGCTTTTTCGGAGTGGCGAGAGGACGTCCATGAGCATTGATATGGACGGGATGTGACCAAGGAGCCCGTTGCCGCTTCTCATGGTGCTGCAGCTCAATATTGCAGAGGCCAGCTCGGAATCAGACTTCAAGGACACGCTATGTCTTTTGCTTACATGCTTGTAGTATTCGTCTGAAGCGATGCTCACGGAGCCGTGTTTTCTTTGAACCTTGAAACGTCTTTTTCTGGAGGTGCTTGGCGGGTTACGTCGGTCTTCGTAGTTGGCCTTTCATCCTGGAGTTGCCTCTTGCTTCTATTCTTGTGCCTTTCAGATTCTTCCAGGGACAACTCCGTCGACAGGCATCTTCAGCTGAGGCATTGAATAGGCTTACTTTACGTTGCAGATCGTCTTAGAGAGGCTAATGCCACTCTTTTCTGCAAAACGCAGGCCCAGCAGCAGGGTGACGGCGACAAACTTCGTGTGATGATGCACATCAGCACCGTCATGCAGGAGGAGCACGGCATTTCAACAAGTGCAGCTCCTTCTATCCCCCACCGCAAGAGGACATCCACCCGGTTTTGCCACAGTACGTCACGGCATATCACAAAGGTCCCTCCATTCTGGATGTTTAAGCTCTCACCTTCTCCCCAAACCCTGCCGTGGCTCCAGCACGCCCATCAGGAGCTGGAGAAGAAGGCTTCCAGGGTCAAGGCCATGCTCAACAAGCTCCTTAGGATCGAAGACGAGAACATCCGGAGTCTTGGCGCTGAAAAACCCGCACCCCCCCAGAACTGTTCCAAATGCACTTAGCCAGGCCGGAGGCAAACACAACGCACCAGAAACAAGCATGAACCACGAGGCATCATGGTGAGGCATCACCGAGAGCAGATCTGCTTTTCACACCCAAAGACTTGGGAAGCACCGCCTGACAAAGCCGAAAATGTCAAGCCGAGGAACAACATCCTAAGGGATCAGCTTACGCCGGTGGAGGTTGCAGGTGCCTCGATCCGGGCAATGCAGAGGGTAGCTGGGAATTATCTTCCTTCATTTGTGCCATACCTGCTTGATGATTGTTCTTAATAGGTGCGGTCTTCTTCTGTCCAAGCCCTGGTGGTCCTTGCCCGAGCCCTCCCTTCGTGGCGATCGTTTGCGTCTCCAGGCGCCCCAGACCTGGATGGCAGCGGCGGACAGCTCATGGCCGCGCAGGTGCCTCGGCTGCCTTCGGCCCCGGCAGCCTTAGTTTGGGCTACCTTTCTTGCTGGAGTTTGCAGTAGCAACAGCACAAGGGTGATGACTGTGTTAGTTGCAACTCCAGTTGGCGGGGATGCTGTAGTCGCTATTTAGCAGCAACGACGTTGCTGGGAAAGCCGTTCGCCACAAGCATCGAAGCCTCAAGGTTGCAATAGCTAATTTGCTGCACGGCAAGTTGGGATGTTTGAAGATCATGGGTCGTGCTCCTTTTCGTGCACCTTATGGTAACTCTTAGTCAGCCGTTATGCCCTGTTTTCTTAGTGGTAAACGCCAAACCCCAAACCCCAGACCCCAGACCCCAAACCCCAAACCCTAAACCCTACTACCTGTCAGTATCACGCCGACCTACGACTCTGGAGCCTCGCCTGGCTTGTCCGAGTTATTATCAGAGCTGATACCCCCCAAAGCCTGCCTACAAATACGAAGCCCTGGCCAGGCCCACGTTGGAAATCCTGGACTTACCACCCCCCCCCATGAAGCTTCGAAGGAAGCCGAGATGCGGTTGATGATAAACAGCATGCAGTACTCATAGTAAGGAATATAGGCCATAATTTGCATAGTTTAGTAATGCAGGGTCCTTAAGGTAATGCAGGGTTTATATCATCAACAGTACTATAATGGTCGGAAGAGTTGTTCTTCTCTTTATAGGACTCGCTTCTATATAAGATACTGTAGGGGTCATGCTGCAGTTATCTTGTCCAGTTGTGCGTCCTATCTAACCTCTGATCTCTGCAATGCGAGAAGAAAAAAAGGTTGGAAGAGTGTTTTTTGTACGACTCCAGTCTATAAGCCTTGTACCATGCTGGCACTATGCCTCCACACCCTACTCTAATCATATTAAGGCCTCTGTATTACCGAGAAGTGCAAATGCCACACAGATGTATTGGGCATGCACCTGGCGGATGTGGATGGAGAGAGAGAGAGAGAGAGTGCTTTTGCGAAGTCCTTGCGTGTCAAGCTGCTCGAGGCTAGATGCTCGACCCCCTCCAGGGTCCTCCTTCGACTTCTTCGCATTCGTACGACAAGTATCGCCGTTGCTAAGTTGTCGGTGGAAGCGTTCTTTCGAAAAGCCGAAAGCTGCCAACGCCCTCCAAAAAGGTGCCGTGGGAGCGGCTTGCTCCTGCCATCGAGAGCCTGGTGAAGGCTGGGCTCTCGAGGGAACTTTTGGCTTCGGGATGGGTTCCCTCACCTTAGTGCCACTGGGTTTTGGTTTCAGGGTTCGGGTTTGTGAGGGTGCAGATGGTAGGTGAATAGGCAGTCAGAGGAGGGGCTTGTTAGATTTCGTAGAGAGTCTCCGTCCTCTCTTCGCCACCACGGAAGCAGGAGCCCACAGCAAGCCGAAGCACCCCTCAAAGGCAACGTGCCGAGCGAGACCCGAAGCTTATTATGCCATAGGGGTTTTGGTGTTGCAGGGACCGAGCAAAGTCCTCCCTACATGTAGGGGATATAACAGCAGTAGCAGCAAGAGTCAGCGGCAAGAATGTGCATTTCTTGCGTACGGGCTTATTTCCACACGGGTCACGGTTGAACATGGTTGAATGGACCGTCTGACCTTAGACTGCTTACTCCCCAACGTATGCAGGGCCATAGGTTGCTGGCTTGACCTGCTCGAAAACCCCATGGGCGTTTGGCAGGATGTGGACCGCCAGATGGTGGCAGTTCTAGGCGCAAGCATGGAGTGCCTGTGGAAGTGCAGGGGTGCGTTTCGGAAACCCCTATCTTCGGTTTTTGAAGGAGGCAAGATGACCGGCCACCGCCGGAAATACTGATAGCGATGGTGAGGAAGTGAAGAGAACAATGCTGATTCTGTGAGTGATTGCTGTTTTATGATTTCGGAAGATATGCTTTTAGGTCCGCTTTTCCACACACCGATGTCCTTTCAAGCACAAAAGCAGGAAGCCACACGAAAACGCTTTTGGGGGGTAAAATGCGAAGAAAAATGAGATTAAGAAACGAAAATAAAATGGAATCCAATAAAAAATCCACCTTAATCTAGGTTCAGCCAGGTTGATCGGAACCCTTCCCGTCTTTTTCCACATCCGCTTTTCCGCACACAAAAGGAGAACCACACGAAAACGCTTTTGGGGGCTTAAAAGCGAAGACAATAAAGACTCAAAAGCCGATGTCCTTCCAAACACAAAAGGAGAACCCAGCTTGCGGTTGCCTGTGTGTGTGTGTGTGTGTGTGGGTGGCGGTCATGGTGATGGTGCTGGTGGTGGTGGCGGCACTGCTGCTGCTGCTGCTGCTGCGGCTTCTGCGACGACTCTGAGGAAGTATGCCAGCACTCGAGCCAGGATGTTGGTAGCAGCCTGGTAAAATTATTCACTGAAAGAAAACAAGCTCCACGAACACTATGCAACCATGACAAGGATGACTGCCACTACCATGTACATGGTGGTCATCATCTCCCTGCCAGCCAGAACGTTTTGCCGTCATGGGGCATAGCTGCTCACGGTCTTGCACAGTTCTCCTTTTTCTCCTTGTCTTTGTCATGGAGATCATGTAATCTGATGCATCGTTGTGCGTTGGTTGGGGTGCAGGAAGACCTTGCGATTGCGTCCCCGGACAGGTCCAGACGACAATGCGCGTTACGAGACCATGGACCGCATACGAGAGGCATGTCGTTTCAATTATTTGCACATGCCATGTGGGTAGTTCTCTAAATTTTTGGGGACCTGAAAAAAATGGGGGACCTAGAAAGGACCCCACTAGTTTAGAGAACTACTTATATACTCAAGGCATGAATCCCTGTGCAGTGCAAGGGGCTTTTAAGCTCCCAACCAGGCCTGGTAGGGTTTTGACACAGGTTTTAGGGTTTAGGGGTTTGAGAGAGAGAGAGAGAGAGAGAGAGAGGGGTTTAAGGGTCTGGGCTTTAGGCATTTCGCTAGAGGTTTAGCGGTGTAGGGCTAAGTAAGCTATTAGCCGATGCGGAGTTGAGGGTGTTAAGAGGTTTATGGAGTTGGGGTTTGGAGGTCTTGGGTAGAGGGCATGTGCACTGCAGCCCCTCCTCCAAAAGGGGTAGAGGGACTTTTTCTTGAGCCCGTTGATTGTTGGCTTGAATTTGGGATCCCATCATAGCGGATTCTTGTCGAACTACCTCCCCTACATCTACAACGGGTGCAAATCCCAAATCCAAGAACTGCGAGAGTGGAGGAAATTTTTGTGCCTGTGGGAAGTGATCAGCATCCCCACTGACTACAAAAATTTGCAGGTCGCGAAGCAGGCCCGACTGATTATTGGCGTCGCTGGGCCAGCAGCCTTTTTGGAAAGGTTTCCGTAGGGCCGTAGGGTTTGTGAAAGTAGCTGGGAGCTGCAGGGGGCAGAGTTTACACTGTCTAAGGTATCCGATGTGAACGTAGTGCTGCTGTGCTTTCCTCATTCTTTGAGTGGTATACGTAGTCGACGGCATCCATGCTTTTTGGTATTCACTTTGCTTCGGCAGGGCAGAGGAGATGTTGGCCATCGCCAAAATTGCGTTGTCACGTGAGACATTTGTCGAGGATGTCTACGGCCAGGGTCCCATGGATCAGTTCAGTGCCGACCTCACGCGGCTTTGCTGCAATGAGTGCCTCCAGCCATGTGACAGCTGCGGCTGCCACCTGGGATTCAGATAGGCGATGATAGGCGAGAGGTCGCAGAGTGGAGGGTTCCCTTAGTAGGGATACACGACTCCGGGTTTTGATGGGTTTGCACCCAGGCCTGCTTTCCACACCTTGATGACCTACAAGGCAGGGCCTGGTGTGCATCCGGTAGCCTGGAAAAATTGACGATAGGACGGCCGCGGGAGTAGAGCCGCGGGTGTTGCTGGTGTTGCCCTCCGTGCATGAAGCCTTCGTGGTGAACTTGAGAGCTTTGCTTTGATGGGCTACTGTGCGTCCAGCCCGGGCAATGCAGCATGTAAATCTCCTGTTCATCTCTGATTACAACCCTAAACCCTGAACCCTTGGTTAGCGTGAGTGCTCCTGTTTGTTTTTCGGCTCATCACGCCTTGGTAAAACCACTCCTACTCGCTACTACTCGGGATGAACTTTTCTAGAATCTTTGCGTAGGCCGTGTTTGTGGTTGTAGCCTTTACGCTTTGATGTGGCCGGTGCATAGTCCTGGGCAAAGCTGACTGCTGCTAGTTTCACACCGACCCACACCTACGAACCTCGCCTGGCATGTCCGAGTTGTGAGAGCCTAAACACTAAACCGTTAATATACCCCGTCTTTTGGCCTTGAGAGCCAGGCCCGTGGCCGCCGGAGCCCCGAGGGCGAGGAAGGGGCGGAGGAAGCGGCGGAGGAAGGCGCTGGCCAGGAAGCCCCGGAGTCGTGAGGCCTGGCCTTCAGAAGGGAGGCGGGTCTTGAAGAAAGGGGTGTCTCGATGAGATTTTCAGTTGGATGCGGTTATGAGAGGTTAGTGGAATCCTTGCAAGGGTACTGCCAGATGCACTTGTGCAGAGAAGATCCTGCGACCAGAACATGGGATTCTTGGAATTTCTACTTTGGCTTTTGCCTGGGGTTCTGGATTTTCCATTGCCTCGGAAGTGCCGCCGTGCAGATGTGCGAACCGCATTTTTGAGACATCATTGCTTGGCTCCGCGCAGATCAGAGTCGCAGGCCAGCAGATGTTCACTCTGCTGTGATTCTGGACCGGCTTGCGACGGACATAGACGCGAGTGCAGCGTCGAAATGCTCGAGTGCTGTCACCCCCATGGATGCTCAGCAGAAGTCTGTTCCATACCCTGGATGTTCGGGATGCCTCAAACCTGACAAAAGCCCACGTGCAGGTTGCATCTTGGGTTGACAGTGGTGATCTCAGCAGCATTTAGAATGTTACAGCCATTGCGGCTTCTAGATGCAGAGCAGAAGAGAAGGACATGGAAATGTGCAAACATAATTCAATTCGGCTTAGCACTCTGTTATCGCTTCGCTACAACAGGGTCAAGATGCCCAGCAGCGACGGCTATTTTTCAGGAATGTCCCCGGTCTTACATTTGGTGCGGATTTAGAGCGACATGATGTTGGACATTATCTACTTGACTCGCCGTGACAGCCGACGAAACTACACAAGCTCAAGAAACCCAAGGCCGTACCACAGGCGATCCAGCAGAACACGTCCCAATCTAAACTTCGCAGACACTCGTCCCCAATGGCTTTCAGACGCCTCGCACGGGGTGCTGCAGCACTCGCCGTCGCGGCACTGCTGCGTGTGGCGAGGCACGGGTGTCCATCGTCCAAGGTCTTCGCTCGTTGAGGGACTGCCTTATGCCAGGCACTGGAATGATGCATGACTGCAAGTCCGATCTCGTATTGTCTTGTCGTGTGGGCAGTTTCGCATGGCCTCGACTTCTAGCAGCGTTCGGCAATTCGCAGAAGCAAGGTCCTGGATCAAGTTTCAGTCCATGTGCGCACCGTTTTGTATGGTTCTATGGCGATGGGTTGAATAGGCTAGCCCGTTCTATTGATGTATCGGAGTTGTCTTGTGTGATGGGTTTGCGCCCTCACAACTCGGAGAAGACACCTTCTAGCTTCTCCAAGTTGCGACATTGTTTAGGGGTTAGGGGTTTAGGGGTTTTAGGGGTTTAGGGTTTTAGGGGTTTAGGGATTTAGGGTTTATTGTAAGCAGTCACAGCCTTCACCGCATGCGGAGGCACCGCGGCAGCTCACAGGCCAGATCTTTGGAGTTTCGGGGGTTGCCGTGATTTGGGACTTGCAGCGAGGCGTTCTGCCTCTGTGACGGGCGATGGCCTTGAAGTTCCAGTCATGTTTTGAGAGAACACTGCAGGAATTGGGAGTAGCTTGAGGTGTTTTGCTTTTGCTCCGTAGGCCAGCGCCTTCGTGAGTTCGACCATGGCGCTGCCAGGCATTTGTCGGCCCGACACGGACCATGATGATAGTAATGCTGGTGGTGGTGGTGGCTGTCCATGACCCTGAGTAGACTTCTGCTTTATGGTTTTGCGGTTCAGGTTTGACGCTCCGGTTGCCAAGAGGCATGAGCCGACTAGTAAGGATAGCACCTGCATCCGTCTCTTTACTTGCCTTTCTGCATTGCCATCACGACGGTCGAGGTCATGCTCCCTACAGCTTCAAACTAGTTTTAGCATAGCTGAATTGCGGCTGTGCGCCGTGCATATCTGCCCGAAGCAATAAATGTAGTATCACCTGTCTGTTTCGTGATGTCCGGGACTGAATCTGCTGAAGCTGGACTTCGCATTCCTTAAGCTGCTTGTATATTGTGTGTCACCAAGTCTTCACAAGCCCAGCGCACAAAAACGAACCCAACCGGCGACTCTTCGCAGTTGCGCGGTCAGCTCGTGCTCCACGTGCAGCGCGGCAGGCGTGAAGCTTGGATTGGGGGTGTAGAGCGTAGAGTTTGGGGTGTTTGTTACAAGGGTAGAGTCTTTAGAGGGGATCACGTTACGAAGCACCATGCTCTTCGAATCCCACTCGGTGAGAATTACGGAGCTGCCACGGGGGCAACATTCCTGGATAGTTCCTAGCTAGCTCCTGAAAGCCTTGAGGTGAAGAACGGGTTCTACACCCCAAGAGCCCGAAGTTGGCGGTGGAAGCCAAAGCTCGACAACTTGAAGCCTAGTTCATAGTCTAAATCAGTCTCAAGTCTAAACCCCGGCACCTTGAAGAGCCCGCAGGCATTCCAGCGAGCTGTCGCTTCTTCGCGCTCCGCCTGGTCCCCAAAAATCTGAAGAGAAGATGTCTGGGTGCAGAAAACGAGGGTGGGTACAAGAGGTGTCCATCGGGGTTTGGGGAAGATCATGTCTGCGCAGACTTCGTCGTGAAGAATGAGGACTGATACCCAAAGCTTCAACGGCAGTACATCTCTTCTGGTGCGGGTGTCAAGAGGTCTAGATCCTAGAGCGTGGGTCTGGTTCCACTTTCCGGGAGACAGGTTTGAATTTGGGATGTGACGCTTCAGACTGCAGTTTTGGGCTTGATGCTCGGTATCATCAAGGGCCACAGTGGCGATGAGAGTAAGAACAAGAGTAGTGCTGGTACTACTGCAATACTAACAGTCGCGACAAACAGTTCAGAAAGTGTGATCACGTCTTTAGCTAGCTTGGCTAGCTTTTCAGGTGTCCGAAGTGGAAGAAGCCGTTTCAAGCATATGAAGCTTGTAGAAAAAGATGCAGAGCAACGAGGCCGACAAGTGCTGCGGCCAGCCCGCGAGAGGTAATCCTTCCACCAACGTTTTTACGGGTTGGGGTTTAGGGTTCCGGATCCCAAACCAGTCCCAAACTGATCTCATGTTGAGAATCCGATTGCTGAGGTGGCCTTCCAAAAGGCCACGGACAGGTGCAACCCTCAGGATCATGCCGTTGGGACTGTCAAGGGCCATCAAGTGAATAAGACAGTTCCGCGTTCCAATCGTGCCATCTTTCGGAAACTCAGACCCTTCTGACTTCGGGGGGTGGAACAGTGAGTAGTAGTATCCCCTTATAGCCCCTATCTCCCCCAACACTCTACCAAGTTCCGGCAGTCTCTGGGGAGGCACTGGAAATTTGCTGTTGTGCTCACTGGCCCTGGTAGAACATGTATCTGAGTTGGTGTGCTTTTCCTCCGGGGACATACGTCTCGTGGCTGGTGTGGTGTTTTCTTTGTTTCCGTGTAGTTTGTGGTGGTGAATTTAGAGATGTATGTTCCTGGAATGGAACACTCGCGGACACTCAGGACCCTGCAGTGCTGACCTCGTCGTTCCAAGTGGGTGACAAGAAATCTCCCCCAACCAGCCGCAGCTTCCAGCGTTGCTACATCATCTTGTTCCTGTGACCTGTAGTTGCTCTGCACGCAGCTCGACGCTAGGTTGCAGGTGCGATCGCCAACAACAGCGACAGCAAGAAAGCAAACTTGTAGTGAAAGAAACAGAAAACAACCCGCCAGACCTGTAACCCTCGCTTGCGGGCCTGCCATTCGTTATTTCCAAAACTTTCTTGTCAGTTCTAATGGAGTTTCAGAAAATTGGGGAAGCATGTATACAGCCTCGGTCAGCAAACTCGTTGTCATACGGACCTGAAGAAGGGACTCCCAATTCTCCGAAGTCCGCAGATCTTTTCTATCCAGCGCGGTCCTCGCGGCGGCAGTGCCAGGCTTTGCAGCGACGGTCCATCATTTCGTGCTTTTCGGACGATTCGTTTTCTGGTGGGGTTAGGGTACACGGTTTACGGGGTTGATGGTTTCGAGCTCCTTGCCCGTCATGCAGACTGCGAAGCTGTCTGAATCCTTCATGGTTTCAAGATGGCTTGTGCCTGTCTGTAGTGATCTTTGGAACAAGTTCGTGGGCTGGCCGGCTGCAGCGGCAAGTCACGAGAAGCGTCGTCTTTCAGCATCTCAAGCTTCCGTCGGCGTCTCCTTCTCCACTCCACAGCTAAGCCCTCGGCTTAGAGTTCTGAATCCACCCCTTACCCGTGCTGAGAGGCAGCCTCATCGCTGCAAGTTCCTCAAGGCGGTCCGGATTTCGGCAGACCTTCCCAGCATGAGCAGTATGAACGGCACGAAACTGAGACTTATACCAGGCACATCTGGCTGCTGCCTGTTCAAGGATGAATATGAGTACCCAAACACCAAGAGTAGTAGTACATGTGGCTGTGCTACGATAATTTTCAACCCACCATCGCCTCCACGAAAATCACCCTTGTCTTCGCGAGTATCCGTTGCCACGAAGTCGTCATCATCCCGCACTTTGGGGATGCGCTTCAGTGATTGTGACATTAATCAGGTTTGGCAAAGGAAGAAGAAGATGATGTCGATGCAAATCGCGATGGCTAGGACGATGACGAAAACCATGATGCGTTTGATGATGATGATGATGATGATGACTACCGACATTTCGCTTGCTTTCCAACTTGGCTAGCTTTACTGGCCGTTATCATGGTCAGGGTGATCACCATGACTATAAAGTCATCACAGCCATCATCGTTAGCAGCTTCTTTCGTCGTCCGCGGCATTGTCGTGAACGTCCTGCTTAAAGTTGTGGTTGTCAGGGCTCTGCCGACCGGGGAGGGCCCTGGGCAAGGCTGTCAGTTCAATCCATCGCCAGTATTGGTCGGACGACGTTGATTTGAAGCCACGAAACGCGAGCGTGCAGCTCGCCTCGCAGGTGGCTGGGTCGGCACTGCACGGCTGGTGGCTCAGTGCTGCGGATTTCGGCTTCGTGGATTCGACGGGGTCCTACCTAAGTTTCGCAGATGCCTCTCCGGCGGTATGAAGTCCCAGACGTGGAAGAAAAGATTCTACATACCCAAACAGTCAGACCTTACGGCGCCTTGTCAGACGGCTTGTCAGACCATCTGGCCCTACCCTAAAGCCAGAGCTACGGCTGCACGCATCCACTTCGCCTGGGAAGGCCCCAAGCTTGCGAGGTGCAGCGCGGCGCGAAGAGCAAAGCCAAGGAGGAACCCCAGGCCGGGGAGGAGATGCACTAGAAGCTGGCGCTGGTGATGTAGGACGACGGCTAGGGAGATAGGAGGGAGATGATGATGATGCTGATGATCCTAGAGCGCGAAAGCTGGATAGCTCTGCGGAGAAAGGGGGTTCCAGGTTCTTACCATGCACTCCTGCATCTCCATTGCTGTTCTTTCTTGATCCTTCCGGACCCATTAGACAGGAGTCTGGCGGTTTCTCGCTGGATCCCCCCAGTGGCACACGCGACTTCTTTCCAGAGGACAGCCTCAGGTAGAGGGTGGAATCTCCAAAGTTTCGCCAAAGAGCGAGATCTCGGGCGTGAGCCCGAGCTCCTCACATTGGTTTCAAAGGCAGAGGCCCATGGATATCTGTAAGTTTTTCACAGCGGGCTTCAAACCGTGCCTGGTTGTGTCCTGTTGAGAGTCGAGAGGTCGTCTAGGTCTGCAGATCGGATGGCCTTGGTCGCTAGGTCCAAGTACCTCATTTTGAGCTTAGGTCCTGTCCGACTCCAATTTTCCCACTCTTCCCTTGCCGTGCCCATGAATTGAGGACATGCGGGTGCAGCGATGGCTTTTCGACCGTTTCCGGGAGACAGCACGCCTCTATGGCTTCGAGGAGTATGATGCAGTCTCCTCAGTGTGACGCATTGTCTAGTTTCCTTCAGTCTTTTCCGGCCTTTGCATCTCACTGCTTGCACCAGTAGACGCTTCGGGAATCACATCGCTCCTAAATCTCCAAGACCAACGAGATGTATCCCACCTGAAGTGTGAATCTGGACAAGTTTTGTGGTGGTATCGGGAAGCTGGTTTGGATGAGGATTCGCACCTCTTGTCTTTTCCGTTCCTTGGGCAACGAGACGGGGCAGCAAGCGGTGCGGTGCGTTACTACTACTTCTAGCTGGTCGTCAATTTCGAGGATTCCGACGTGTTTCATGGTGCATTACTTTTTGGGCTTCCTCGTCTTCGTCATCTACACCATCATTATCTTTATCATCATCGCCACCGTCTCTACCGAGCTCTACTGTACCATTACTCCCATCCCTTGCCCGCCGAACGAGGCACCAGTGCTGGAGAACGAAGATTTGTACAAGCGCAAGGCGCTGTTTCTGATCGGGCGTGAGTGCTGGGGAACGAGCTTCCGAAAAGTTCTGCGCTGGAATTTTCGGGGTATGGGGTGACTCATTCTAGCATGTTCCTGCTTTTGAGCAGGCGTCGGGTTTGGGGATGTAGTTTGGGGATGTACTGTAGTCGCCAGCCCAGGCTGGAGAAGAGATCACCGAGCAGATGTACAACTTCAAGGACAAAGAAGGCCCGCCCTCTGCAAGAGCTATCAGCTTTCGTTTCGGTCTGATGGGCTCTTTCGCCTGGTCTTCTTGTGCTACTTTGCCACAAATAGTAACATACTAGCACTTTGATTTCATATCAAGTAGGGAGCTAGAACAAGGCTATAACAGCTTAAACCAATGACGACCCTAACGAAGTTGTATGCAAAGACTCTGCTTTCTTCCTGTCTCCACCGAACCGTGGAAGGGTGTGGAGTCACCATGCAAAGATACGCCAAGTTCACAAGTTGCAGCTGCTCGATAAAATGACATGGCTTGAAATCTTGAAAGAGTGCACTCGTCGCGCGACTCCGGCAACCTGCCCACGCGTTTTCTCAAAACATTAAAGCACTTGTCCGGCAATTGGTCTGCTGCACGTCATGGAAAGATTTCGCTTCAGTTGCGCTTGCCCTCTCAGCCGCACGGCGAATTTCACTGTACGTCTTGCATCAGAGAGGTTTGCACAAACAGAGTACCTCGTGGCGCTTTCTACGACAATCGGATGGGGTCTGCTTGGATCTCATCCAAAGGTCGGAGTTTCGTGGGCTGCTATGGAAGGCAGCTGCCTGAGGGGGGCAATTCGTTGGGAAGCATTGTATCAGTATCAAGAACCCCTGAATAAGAAACCACCAGTTTGCAAAGTCCAAGGTCATCGTACAGAGCCCTCTGTGCAGGTGCAGCCGTCACACTGCGGCCGGAGATGACGCCGTCCCTGGCACTCCGGCAGAGACTAAAATTGGAAATCCCTATGTATTGTTTATGGTACCGCCACACTTTACTCCGTTTGTATTAAGCCACTGTTTTAGGTTTTTGAGGTTTTAGACTGGCTCTAGAGCCTCGGGTTTAGATGGGCTTGTGGCAGTCAGGCCTGGCCCAGCGGGCAATTGTACACCACGTATTGCTTTCATGATTTGGGCTCAGCGTCGCGGACATAGGTTTGTGACTCATGCTCCGCAGGCTTTGTGGCTTTTGCCCCCGGGCTAGGCTTGAGTTTGTTCTAGCCAGGTTCTTTCTTTTTATGTTGCCTTCTTTGCCATGATGCCGCTATCAAGGCACGGATGGTGCTGTCGCTGATGAGGGCAGAGACAGGCGCAGGGGACTCGCAAGCCGTTTAGGCCAATCCTCAAGCCAAGGCCAGACTAAGACATACTAAGACTGCAGCATATCGTTGTGTCACCTGTTGCTGTTGTTTTTGTTTCTATTGCTACATCGAGTCTCGCTCCTGCTCCTCGTACTGCTGTTGCAACTCCTTGTGCACCTGCTGCTGCAGCTGCTCCTACTGCTGTTGCTGATGCTGCTAACGACGACTGCGCCGACGACTTCGACGACGACAGCAACGACGACGACTGCAACTACTACAGTACCACTGCTACAAGCCACACGACTCCCACAACCACTGCCGCCACCGCCACCGCCACCACCACCACCACCACCACCACCACCACTAGCGACTAGCACTCCTACTCTCATTCCCACGACTACTGCTGCTGCTGCTGCTGCTGCTGCGACTGCGACGACGACGACGACGAGTAGCATGGAATTATTCAGCTGACAAGCCCGGAGTGCAATGCACGAGCAGGTGCCATCGCTGCAGTGCTGCCGCTGAAGCGGCCAAGATGCATTTACTTTATCATTTAGCCTACGTCTTCGCTTCCGGCTCTTCTGGATTTCCACGGCAGGTGGTATGCCATCCCTCAGTGTTGGCGCTTCGAGACGACACAACGGGGCAGGCAGGAACAAGGGAGGATGGCACACACCGGCACACAATTCGAGCAGGCATCGGTCTTTGGTGCAAGATTCGTCGGTCGGCTTTCTGCTCGTTTGACCCAGACAAGAATTACAGGGATCACAATGTAAGGAATTACTGATGGTGTGTGCGGCTTCAGCACGCAGGTTTAGGCTGCATTGAACTGGAGCTTGCGGCTGCTGGCATGTTTGAATACGTGCAGGAAGCGCGAGCACTACCAGAATCTCGGTTCGAATGAGAGTGAGCCGAGACATGCTTACATGTTGAGTTCTCCTGGCTCTTTCATTGTACTTCGATTCCATGACCACAGCTCGCGCTCGTGCGCACGTCGGCCGCCAGCGCTCAGGTGGAACATGGACATTGACGGGGCCTTGTTGCTGCTGAGTTCTGTCAGAGTGCCTCATGTTTGCACAGCACGAGCCCTGAACTGCAATGCGACAGGGGCCCGGCCGGAAATGTTCCCCTGCGCAGCGTTGGCTGAAATACTCCGGGCGAGCCACTTGCAGTTGCCATGTCCTGCTTCGCGGGCTGCTTCGAAGGCATCAAGAAAAGCCAGGATCAGCGACAGGGGCCCAAAGATGTTGAATGAAGCTTCCGATGGGCAACGTGTACCCTTTTGCCAGCGTAGCGTTCCAGTCTCTTGGGGCTTTAGCCCTTGGCCCAGCTGAAGTAGTGATCTGTGGGGCCGCAGGACCTGGGCAAAGTCAAGCTGCATTACTTCAACGTCTTCGCGAAGGGTCCGGCAATCGCGTGGCTTGGTCCGACATTGTGCCCGGACAGGATCCTGAACACTGTTTAGGCACACAAAAAGCCGGAGACCGGCTCAAGGCTGAGGCCAACAAAGTTGCAGCAACACTGGTTTGCCCATCCGATGCACTTGGCACGCTTACTAAACCGCTCCTGCTGCCTCCCTGGCTGCTGCAACTGCTGCGGCTTGTAGCCTACCACTGCCGTGGCGCTGCTCTTTCTGTTGATGCTTTGATTGTAACCGGTTTCAAAGTCAAAGCTTCATTCAGTTTTTGTCTGAGTCTAAGCGCGGATGAGTGCAGCTGGTATGGGAGAGTGAAAGCGATGCCCGAACTTGATGTACCGTGAAGCCTCAGGCTTGCCCTGCACCATGGCGGCCTGGATTGGGAAGGCGTTTTCCCATCTAACTGGAAGGACCGCGGGCATAAGGCTTGGCGATCTTTTGTCCTCATCATATCAACCCCCTTTTTTTCATTATCACAGGTAACGATAACGGACACTGGCTATGTGATTTAGCAATTGAAGTCACGGCGTATTTGGAGTCTAAAGTATAGCGCTGAAGGGCTTGCACGGCTTGGACTAGGGCCTTTCAGGGGCGCTGGCCTCCCGCTCCTGTCCGTGATCGCTACATCAGCCGACGTGGGCCTGGCCAGGCTGTTACGGAGAACACGAATGCCACTGCTCGGAGCAGTAGCAGCATCAGCGGAATCAGCGGAAGAATGGGCAGCAGTAGTATTGTACGCTGTAGTTGGTGCCGCCGGGTGCAGAAACCTTCGAGCCCGATGCCACATGGTTCTCATCGCATCTACAGATGATGTTTTGGGCGTACGTTGACATCTCGGACTCTCCACGCGTCCGTGGAGCACCCCAAGTGCCCCAAGTCTCAGCTCGAAAGTTGAGACGTCCGGACAGCAGTGCTGAAAGCTCTGTCATTCACGAGGACCTCAAGCCCACCACGCCCTTCGGCGAGCTGCCGATTCTGGAGGTCCAAGGCCGGGGCTTCTGCGCTGTGTTCTTGCGGCGATGGAGAGAGTGGGACCTTGCCCGAGCTGACCGTTGCCACCCCCGAAAACCCCAAACACTGGGGGGTTTATTGGGGCCGGGGGGCTTACGACGCCCCTTACACCCGAAGGAAGAAGAAGAGAGAGAGAGAGAGAGAGCGGGAAGCTCCCTCACCCATAGCCCTGTCGAAAGAAAGAGGGAGGATTGTTGCTAGCTTACTATGTCCAGGGACCCAGTGCGTGTACACGGAGTTTGTTAGCTTTTGGTTTGATGCAGGGGACATGTACACAGAATGGGCATGTAGTGGCTGCAATGCGGGGTACTTTGTAGTTGCCATGCTGGGGGACGTTTGGCTAGCCTGTTGCTGTTTGATGCGATGTCTGCGGCTTGCTAACTAGCTCAGGCGCCCAAGAGAATTAACGGGGGATCATCGGGGTGTTTTCTGCGTTCTTAGCACCCTCGTGTGGCGGATGAAAACCCATGTACTGCTTTCACAGCCCCTTCAATGCTCGTAGGAGGTGGGGGGCCAATCGACAGTCCCCTAAGCCCTGAGGATGAGGAAGAAGAAGAGAATGGGTACTTCCGCTGTTCTTTTTCGGGAGACTGTATGTGGTACGTGTGTCCAACCCGCCGTCTGTGCACAGTGATCCCCCGAAAGCCCCATGAACCGTGGGGGCCCTATGGGCCGAGGGGCGTGACTGGCCCCTCTAACCCCAAGAAAGAAGAGAGACACGCCACGAGACCCCACACCCCTCGCAAGCAAGCAAGCAAGCAAGCAAGCACGCACGCACCGTACGCACCGTACGCACCGTACGCAGGCAGGCAGGCAGGCAGGCAGGCAGGCAGGCAGGCGGGCACGCAAGCAAGCCTGCAAGCAAGCAAGCAGGCAAGAGACGAAGGGTCAGTGCTTATTTAATAAACCTAATGTACCTCTAAAGTACAGGACGGGGGACCACCTCGGGGGAAAGGTGGATTGAAATTTACTGGATGGTTGTTCATCGCACTCTTCGGGAGAATCAACGAGACCGAGAAGGTTTCGCATCCAAAGCCTCAGAAAATTATGGGAGGCCCTGGTGGCCGACCTGACCCGTCCCTCAAGCTCTGACGAAGAGTGACGATGACGGGTCAGGTCAGGCGGACAATGGCCATGGTGTTGGTGAGGATGGTGAGGCTTTTGCTTCTCAATACTGTGGAGATGTCTGCTATGAAACGCCTTGTTTGTCGGCTAGTTGCGGTAGGGATGTCTGGGCGTCGATGATACTCGGCGTCTCCGCGAGCCAACCCCCCCCCCCCCCCCCCCAGGTTTCCCGGTGGGTTGTGATCTGACAGATTGGGTACCTTCCGTCTGGTGTTCCATAGTTTTCGTAGCTTCCTGGCATCTTCCAAGGAAAGATGATCGGCCACGAGTTTGCCATCTTGTGCCTTCGCTAAATGAGTCGCGTGCCAGGGGTTAGTCGTTCCGAGCGGCACGACTGACTTGTTTTCAACGGACGTTTCGTCTCAGTGGGGTTCATCGGCTACTCCGAACCTTTGGCCGCGGCTCAAGACGCAGCAGAACCCTTCGGTCAGTCCCTGTCTTCCGCCTTTCCTCCAGCATCAATCATGGGCAACCTTCCGCCCCCTGCGCCGGAAGAGATGGTCGTTGTCATGCAGCGGCGCTGTTGTGCTCCGCCCATCTACGAGGTGCCAGATTCCCTGAAGAAGTTCCTGTCAGAGTCCGAGATCGAGGGCATGAACAGACAGTTTCAGATGATGGAGTGCATTGGTCTCTTGTGCGCCCTCGTCTTTGTCCTGTTCTGGGTCGGCCTTGCAGGGATCATGGTTGCCGTGGTCGAGGAGCCCCAGTTGTGGAATCTCGCCCATGGAGGATGGGGGGGATATGGCGTGGCCCAAGCCGTGAAAACGATGATGATGAGTAGGTGGCTATCCCGCTTCTCTGCTTCGAAGATGCCAGTTCGGAAAGTCCGTGCGAAGAACTGCGGTGAAGAGGCTCTGGGATTCATGCCCGCACAGGGCGGGACGACCATCGGCGCGGAGGGGGCGTGATGCTTTCATTTCAGCCAGCCGCGCGCTCGACATGCTCGACCAGCAGGATGAGTGGCATGCACGAGATCTTTTCTCCCTAAGGGGGATGCTGATAATCGGCCTCTGAAGCTCCATTTGTGGTGCTGACGGGGCCAAAGGTGTTAATGCTAGCCCGCTATGCTGCGACATGTTTAGTTTTGTTTTCGTGATGCCAAGCTCTACAATGAGGGTCTGCGCTTTCCAATCCAAGCACAACGTGTGCAGCCCTCGTGTTTGTAACTTTCTTCAATCGCTTTGCTGGCTGCGCACAACTACGTAGGAGATCCTGTATGTAGTTCCCTTGCGTGGGGTGTCGGGATGAGCATCTACCCGCTGAGGTACATGTGAAGTTCGTTTTTTGTCGTTTCTGCGTTAGTTGCGTGCAGTTTTGTCACAGTCGACCGACGTGTAACATGTCGGAATGTCGGTTGCTGTGCCGAGCAAGCTTGAGCCTTGTTTCCCGTGAGCCTGAGACCGACTTGTCCGCGACGGCGAGTGCAGAAAGTGTTGCACCCGCGATTCGTCCGAGTGTGAGTATCCACTGATCCGAATTCGGAAAGAACCGTCTGAAACCAAGGAGTTACCTCGCCAAGTGCTCGCCAGCTCTGGGCGGCGCCAACGATGAGGAGCCCCCCGGCCCAGAAATCTTCGATCTCGGCTTCAATGTTGACGTACGTTCGGGGGCGCAATGCCGGAGCCTCAAGGATGGTACTCTGAAAAACGATGATTCGTTTTCCGATTATCACACTACTCCGCAAGACCATGTCGTAGGTGTTTGGACCCCTTCTATAGACAGAAGCCTCTGGGGCGCTGGATGTAAGTACTGTTAGGTACCTCATCTCGCTGCAGATCGCTTCGCAGGCCGAGGAGCGCGGTTGAGGGCTCTGCCATGAGGGCTTTGGGATTGGAGGGAGGTTTCGTCGAGATGGTGGGACGGAGAATCTGTGTCTACAGCTCATCGTTCCGCGTCTTTTAGAAGTCCCTTCAATCCCAAACTCGTAGACCCGTTCAGTCCACATCCGTCAGACAGTTACTTGGCCCGCTGAATGCTAGCCCGCGGCTGGCACTGCAAGCACTTTCTTGGCGAGATCCGAACGCAAATGTGGGTCGTTGAAAACTATTTATGGTCCCGCTTCGGCGAGACCCGAAATGGTGGTGATTCAGCTAAGCAGGCTAAGCACCTTACCGGAACGGGGCACCCTTATGCAGTATTATGCAGCACAACCGCCGAATGCTTTGTCAGGACATCTACCAGAAGTTGGGCAAGTACCAGAATACCATCGGCCAGAAGGCAGCGAGATTCCAGGCGGTTTAGGCTGGAGGTTTAATGTCGACGGCCTCAGGCGCTGCATGTTACGGCTTCTTAACGTTGCTTGAAGACTTGAGACTCACTCTCAACTCTAGAGAGGAAGGGCCATGTTCTAGAGAGGAGGAGCCATAGGCTTCAGCTGATAGTACAGTCACACGCTGGACCCGAAGCCAAACGGCTGATCTGAGCAGAAGGACCAGAAGCGTGATCAGTCTTTGTGCGCATGCGAACGATGCTTCCCCCACTTTGCTTCGATTACCATAGGAGCCTACATAAGTACCGATACTATGTTGGGGGTTATAGATACCATACCCCAAAACCCTGTTCTAATCATTTAATTAAAGGCTTTTACATTTCACTGCCCTGAATCTCTGCAGCAGACTTGTTGAAGCCTCAGCTGGAGGACAAATGCTCGGCCGACGAGCTCCGTGCCTTCTGGGAGGACACCGACACGGCCAAGCACAGCCGAGATTCCTGGCATTTTCAAGAGCTTTGGGTCTGTAGGTTGAGGGGTTAGGATGTATCCACGAACAGCATGGTAACACGAAGGGCTTCTTACGTTCAGTTTGACGAGAACTGATTAGGGAGGCATGCGCGGCGCGCATGCTCGGATCATGCTCGCTCCAAAAAGTCTCCCCGTGGCCTGTTATTTACGTGATGCGGTGCAAGTTTGGTCAAATGCATTCTGTTATTCACACAAGATCCGTGCGCGGACCGGGCTCCTGCTGTGGTGTGGTGCATACTTTTCACTGTGCGGTGTGCCACGCTCGTCGTGGTGTTCCTCGGGGATGTGGCCATCATTGTCGCCGTGGGGCTCTTTCATGGTTTGGGTATCTAGACTGACACAATGATTTCAGGGTGCAAACTAGTAACTTAGTAAGGCCTTGTGGCTCTGGGTCTTTGCTCTATTCTTATGTAGCAGCAGCGTCTTTCTGTTCTGCATCCAAGGAGTATGGCATCCATGCGTACCTCCAGTATTTGGAGAAGTTCTACATCAAGATCGCCGGCAAAGGTGCCCATGGTAGCCTGAAGCCTCAAACACAGAGCACGGCAGTTCCAACTTCGGGGACCTCCGTGGGAGGAAACGGTACGATCAAAAACGCATACGTTGTCCATCATGTTTACTTTGCACTTCTTTCAGGCCATACATGCGTTTTCCTGCCTCGAGCTTGAGGTCGCACAGAAAGTTCGAAATAGGCCACCTGGATCTAGCGCTTTGTGTCTGGTTGATGGATAGGAGGCTGAGAGCTGTGTCTATGCATGTGCTAAAGGTGCCGTGCTACACTTGCGAACAAGACTCCAAAACACTTTCCCGTGCAAGGAATTCTTGCCCCAACGTGCAATCCACTTAGTTTGTTTGGCGAGTTTCGCTCTGGTTTGCCAAGTTGTGACAGGCAAGGGCATCTTTCTGTTCTTCCCAAGATTGCGAGTTCTTGGTGTCAAATTGGTTTTTCTGTTTTTGGACCCTGGTTCGGAGGCATTGATTGGACTTCGGGGGTTCTGGTCAGGCGGCAACACTGGCAAGTTCACCGCTAGTGGCGTGTCGGTAGGCGAGTGCAAGCTCTTCACGACCCTTGGCTTAGTCGACGGTGTCTTAAAGACAAAGCACCAATCTCCAAAACTCTAAACCCCAACGACCCCAAAGTGTGTGACCGTACAGCCCTACACCCGCACCCAAAAACACCCAGCAGCTTCAAGAACCCGAAACTCAAGAGGTCTCTATTGGGCCGGTTTAGGGTTTCGATCTCTGGCTGTTTCGGCTTGTGATTGTGTTGGGGACCTAGTTTCCGTGCGAACAGACCTCGATGCCTCGTGCAATTCGTGGTGTCGTTACATGAGCTGTATATAAGACCATCACTGGGCTGCTTCGCAGACTGTGATTCAGCCAGTGGTTCCTATGCTTTCCAACCTACTCTTCTGCTTTGCAGAGTGTAGGGAGGCTCTCTGTCAATGCCCCGCATGCCGGCAACTTTGGCTCAAGATACCGCCAATAGTCAATAGCTGTCATTGCTTGCTGACTAGTGATCCAATCGTGTGTGTGTGTGTGTGTGCCATCCCCTTGCGCAGCCCGATGCTGACTGACAGCGAGACTTCGCGTGCCTGCTTAGGGAACGGACAAGTGGGCGAACCATTCCTACCAGATCTACTTGGGCAACCTTGTGCTGACCCGAACTAAGAGGATTGGATGCATTGGTTGGAGCCTGCATGCAGAACCTTTCCTGACACTGAAGGCTTGAGCCACTCGGGACACACCAAGTTCAAAAGCATTGATGTGAAGTTGGGAGTCGCTATGACAGCCATGCTCAACGCGTCTGGTGATCAAGCTGCCGACTTGTACCTGGATGTGAACCGAAAGGCTAATCATTGCGTTCGGAGTTTGAGCGGGAAGATCATCAACGGGAGGCACATCATCGCCATGAGCTACGAAAGCTGCAGGACTCGTGATCGTCTTGACATGCTTGTCACATTGGAGTACTTGATCAAGAGTCAATATCAAGGTGACAGCAAGATGAATGTATTCAAGCAGATGTGGCCGGAGGTTATTTCGCGTATGCCGTATGCGTCCGGAAGATGTACCATCCGACACGCCCCTACGTGACATGCGCTACAGCAAAATCAAGGATTCTCCCGTGTTGCGGATGGTATTGCTTGTCCACTACGAGATGGTTACCTACGATGTTCCGAAACGATCATATCAGACCCTTCTCGGTCTCATCGATCGTTGCATCATGCGACAACGTGAACAGAAGAACATGCGCCAAACCCAAGTTGATCTTCGTCTGATGATTGAAGGCAAGGACCAAATGGCCGCACCTGCGAAGACTAAAGGCAACGAGAAGGACACCGCTACTCCTGCACCCAAGAAGGGAAAAAGCCCAAGAAAGGAAACGAATTGTCTGAGGCGGCTCCAGTGCTTCCCCAAAGCAAAGCAAAAGCTCATGCGAAGGCCAGGGCCGGCAAGGGCAAGAAGCAGAGGGACACGTCCGAGTCCACCGATGGCAAGGGCGACAGGAGCGAGAAGCAAATCCGATGCAAATTCTTCTTCTCTCCCAGTGGTGAGTGTCGGAACGGCGACAAATGCCCGTACAGTCATTCAATGAAGACTCCAGAGCTAGGTCGCGACGGTTCTCCGTCTGGACCACGATCCCGAAGTCCGTCAGCTGGTGCATCAAGGAAGATATGCTATGCATTCAAACGTGCAGCCGAAGTAATTGTCCATTCAGTCACATCCTGGTGGCATGCAGTCAGAGTATCGTGTTGTCCCCCGCCCTGCAATACGTCGACGATTATGGGTCCATGGAAGATCAGCCCATGTCCGGTGGCACTTTCAAATCGTTCGAAGACTACAACGGATGCCGCGAGATCCCCATGAACCGAGCAAACGATGACCTCCTGAAAGACAACAACGCATTCAAGGAATGCTTGTCTCGTCAGACTTTGACAGTTTGATCCGCACCCCCTGTCCACAACGGGTGAACGACATGTCACTGGACGAGGCCAGAAAGATGGCCGGCAAGATCAACTTCCTGACGGACAGCCTGTTCGGCAAAGTCGGCCGTGCTGCTTCGATTGAAGGCTCTGTGTGCCAGAACCAACTCTAGCACGAGTACCATCGACAAACCAACAGGATCATCTCTGCATGCATTACGAAGCATTCTCCAACATTGTAGACCGATGACGATACCTTGGAATCCGGCAACCACGACCTACAGCGTCATCTACACCGACGCATACCTCAAGCTAGGACAACAGATCTATCGCCCAGGCGATGCAGATCTGCCTAGCTGGTAGTCCAAAGAGACCAACAACATCGATACGGGGTGGGCAAACATCAACCGCTCACTTGCTTGGTAGCAGCACATGGGACATGGCATAATCGCCGGAGGCTCGCCCACCGACTTGAGCGAATACCCGCCAAAGCTAATGTCTCCGCTGCGCTCAGCCGGTTTTAAGACATCGACAACGCTCGACAGTGGATGAAAGTGGAGTTACCTCTCTCACACGTTACGGGTAGAGCTACGAATATTAAGGGTGACATCGGTATTGCAGCCACTACCGGCTTTTCAGATGTGCCGGGCATCGACAAGATACATCGAGCCCTGCGCGACAGACAACGGTAAGGTCTCGAGGCGTTCGCCTGCGATGGGAGGATGCGACCACCACCGATGGGAAACGGTCGGCCCTCCTATCATCACATTTCTGCAGGAAATGCCATTGAACAATTCGATGAACCCGATCAGACTCCAAAGAAAGTCAAATCGCAGAGCACGCCACCGAAGCGAAAACAGTTGGCAAAAGTAGAAGGAGCGCGTAGCAGGAATCTATGCATGTCCGGTGAAAGCTTTCGTTGTCGTGTAGCACACTTGCATGCGAAATGAAAACCAATTGCTTTCATCAATCACCGATCGACTCGGTGGATGTACATGAGTCAATTACTTTGAACTGTATGCATTCCGTTGCCATTTTGGTATAAGATTCGAATTGAGCTGTTTTCTTTTCCCAACCCGCCCTAACCGCCGTTTATGCGTTTCACTTTCCTCTGCTTTCATTGTGCGAGACCCGACTGGGAAACGGTCGGTCCACCTAACATCGAAAGAACATTTCTGCATGAAATGCGGTTGAACCTTTCGATGAACCCGGTCAGACTCCGAAGAGAGTCAGATCGCAGAACACGCCTCCGAAGCGAAAACAGTTCGCAAATGAAGCACGTGGCAGGGATCTATGCATAACCGGTGAAAGGTTTCGTTGTCACGAATATGTAATAGTACCGCCTTGTAATCTTCAGGGTAGCAGCCTCAAGCATCAGTTGCCACAGGAAGCTAAGATCAAGCCGTGCCCACCGGAGAAGCGATTGATCTGCGGCTGTTACTTTACGAACGTAATGACACCGAAGTTTTTTGGCTTCACACAATGCCAGACCGCTCAAGGATGCTGCACTGCCTGGCGATGATCAAGCCCACAGCACCTTGGCGTTGCCTTCAGCTTGGTTACATGTTCGGTGACGCAGTCCGAACAGAACATCCAAGTCTAAAGCCATCTGTGCAAGTGCCTGTCTGATACATGCTGTCAGTACTTGCCATAGCACACTTTGTGCAGGGCTTGTGCTCCTTGGTCCGGAGCCGGCTTGTGCGGGAGGTTGGGGTGGCCAGAACAGTCAAGCGATTCTAAACAAGCCATTGCTTCTCAATGTTCCACTCTCAGCCTCATTCTCTTTTCGTGGTTGCAAAGTTGCAACACTTGGCTTTGGGATTTGACTCTGCTCGCCTTTGGACCCAGAATCACCGAGTGAAGAGAATCTTTGCTGCAGGTATATGAGTCCCAGGTGCGAATCGGCCGCCCCGAACCAATCGGATCAATGCGAGGCACCCATCGGATCTCCAACTGTAGAACCGTGACATACAACGGGACTCATGCAACACCAAGGAATGCGTGACATACAACAGGATTCATCCAAGACCAAAGAGGGCGTGACCAGGACTTATCCAAGACCGAGGGGGGCGTGACATACAATGGGACCCAGATAGGACCGAGGAACGCGTGACATACAACAGGATTCATCAAAAACCACGGAAGGCGTGACATACAACGGGACTTTTCTGAGACCAAGCCTGGCGTGACACACACCAGGACCCATCAAAGACCCCTAGTCTTCATCTACATGTAGATATTGAGACACGCAGCACCATGATCCCGTACGGACAGTATGAGAACTTCATGCAGTGAATACCTGAGCTGATACAGTGCTCCGACCAGGCATGTCGTGATCCTTGTCGTGCGTTTGCTGATCCGTTTTTCCCGACCTGATCCCCATATCGTCCTGATCCATTTCTGCGAGCCGATACGTCCTCCTGCTGCATGGAAGAAGAGGTCCTTACGCCGTACCCCGGCCTGCAGAATTTCTACAACCGCTTCAAGGCTCTGCAGAAGACCCAGGACACACGGTTGTGCGGTTGGCAGAATCATTATTGGTATTGTTGGCAGTAGGAGCAATGAAGCAAGAGGATGTACCCTGGTGTGTCTGTGTCTATCTGTGTATCTATGTCCATGTCTATATGCATCCATGTATATATCTATCTTAGTGTCTGTGCCCATGTCTATTTATGTATCAATCAATCAATTTGTCTATCTATCTATCTATCTATCTATCTATCTGTCTACTTATCCATCTATCTATCTATTTATCTATCTATCTATGTGTGTATCTATCTATCTGTCTGTCTATCTATCTACCTACCTATCTATCTACCCGTCTACCTGTCTGTGTGTTTATCTATCTATCCTATCTATCCTCCCATCTATGCATGATGCAGGCATACACATGTGTGTATGTATATATATATATACACACACACGTACGTGTGTATGACCTTGTATAGTCTCCACTGCGCGAGTTCGACTGCCAGTGTGCGTTGTTTCGTTGCAGATAGCACAGCTGCAGTGCTGCTCCCCATGCCCATGAGGTTACTTTCCTTGTCTTTCTCCTGTTCCTGCCCGTCGCTTCCTACCTGCTCCTGCTGCCGAAACCACCACCTCCGCCGCCGCCCCCAGCACCACCACAACAACAACAACGTTTGGATTAAAGCTGCTATTTTCATGACTGCTGCTGGCAGTAGAGGTTCTTGTCAGATGTCAAAAAAGGCTGTGACAATAAGTAGGACTACACGACGTTGACAGTTATACTTGTTTCCGGGTGCAGAGCAGAAATGATGTTCTCCTTTCAATGTGTGGGGGTCTGGAGGTGACAGCGTTGAACGATGTTGAATGTGCTGAAAGTGCTGCGAGCGTTCGTGAGTGTCACGCAGGTGGCAAAGTAAGCGAAAATTCTACACGAGCAGTGTGTAGAGGGGGCAGGCGTGTTCAGGAGGGTCTTGGAATTCAGCACATTGCCACGCCACGACCGCTATAAAACTAGATCCCACTAGGCTAGATGTATGCGCACACACAAACACACACACACACATTTTCAACCGTACATAGATATGGCTGTGTTTGTATGTGTATGTATATATATATATATATTATGTAGAAACGATACAACTATGATACTGATAATCGTGTAATAATAGCAGTAAAGGAAACACAACCAGTAAATTCAGGAATTGAACCCAGAGTTTTCACATGAATACTATGAATGCGTAACACTGATAACCGTAATGACGTATTAACCAGTATAATGGCAATACCGCCACTTCTACCACTACCACTGACACTACCACTACCACTACCAATACCAGTACCACTACCACTACTACCACTGCTGCTACTTCTTCTTTGCCATGCGGGAGCCAAAACTACTATTATTGCTAGTACGAGTGCTAGTATCAGCACTAACACTAGTACTAGTACTGCGAACAGACCTCGATGCCTCGTACAACTGGTGGGTGTCACGATAAGAGCTATGAGAGTGAACCATAGTCAAGGTATCACAGGCCTGCTTGACAGACTGTGCTCTACCGGCCACTCATTTCCATTTCTGCTTTGCAGAGTGTACTGAGTATGTGTACTTTAAAGTGCTCCGCCTCACACGCAACTTTGTGGTCCGCAAGCCAATAGCTTACGACTCAGTTGTAAGCGTCTGACCTGCACAGATCTACGACTGAGCGCCATCTGTGAAAAGACAGTGTCAGTGCGTGTGCTTGCAAGGGGAATAGGTGGTGAGCGAAGTGATCAACCACTACTTCAACATTTGGCAGCCACAATCAATATTCATAAGCTCGGTGAGGTGAGCAACCAAGACAATATCGACAACAAACCGTCACAGGATATCAGCCTTAGGCTTCGCCTCGAGGCCGAATATCCCCACAAGAAAGGCAAAATCTTCGCCGAGGACGACTACATCGTCTCGTCCATCTTCGGCAAACCCGAGAACAAGAACGGCCGAGAGACGACCGTCCAAAACGGTGATTCAATGTTTGCAATCGAAATTGAAAGTGAGAGATCGGGAGCCAAGGAGCCCAGAACAGAGGAGGACAAGATCTTCAAGGAGTTCTTCGGGAAAATCTATGCAACCTGGATCTGCTACGGGCAGCGAAGGATGCTCCCGTCGCCTTTGGCGTGCGTGCAATCCTCGTTTGATGCGGGGTTGCGGAGCCCCTCTATGAGCCCGAACGTAAATTCCGATGATGCAATGCCCCAACTCGACGACTTACCTTCGGGTCTGCCGATCGAGGACATCTCCCGGAACAGACATCCTGTGCACGATCCCCTCGTGCAGCATATGACCATTGCACAGTCCGAGATGCAAAGGTTTCATGAATCCGAACTTCAACGTTATGAAGCAATCGTGCAAGTGCTGATGCAGAAGATTTCGGAGATGACCCAGGGCGACCAAGGTTCCGCCATGAGAACTGAGGAGTTGGAACGTCAGTGCAACATGATGCAAGCAGCTATGGCGCACATGAATCAAGTGCATCAAGGACCAAGGATGGAGTATGAAGTCGGAATGATGAGGATGGAAGAGCATGTTCGCGACCATGAACTCGCAGAGTCGTTATCTGCCCAATTGGGACGGCTGCGTGCTACACTTGGAGGAAAGAGCGTAAGGTCAGGGCTTGAACATGGCGAGGGAGTACGAAAAGCTCACGAATGGAATGAGAAGGCCAGAGAGAATTTACATCTCAAGGCGAGCTACCCTTCTGCCGAGGCCACCTTGTCGCAAGGGGCAAACTGGCTGAAGTTGGTCCAAGATGAGGAGCAAGCTGGACGGAGTGAAGCTCGAATGGAGGTTCACGCCACCTCGACATTTGGCAGCTGAGCAACCAAGACAACATCGACAACAAA